CAAGGACAAGTGGAGACCTATTCTAGATCTCCGGAGAATCAACAGGAGACTACTAGTCAGATCCTTCAAGATGGAGTCCATAAGATCCATCTCCCTAGCAATCTGGAGGGCAGATTGGCTCATATCCATAGATCTAAAGGACGCCTACTATCACGTCCCAATAGCCAAGGAACATCAGCGTTTTCTCCGATTCGCAATAGGAGAAGACCACTTTCAATTCAGAGCACTTCCATTTGGCCTGGGCACAGCACCCATGACCTTTTCAAAGGTATTGGTCGTTCTTATAGAAAGATTGAGGATTCAGGGAATCTCTTCATTATCTAGACGACCTACTATTAGTAGCACCAAATGTCCAGATGGCAATACTACACAGGAATTTTGTGCTATCAGAACTGCATCAATTCGGCTGGTTGGTGAACCTACAAAAGAGCAGCCTCATTCCATCCCAGAGGATTAAGTTTCTGGGGGCGAATTTTGACACTCTCCGGAACTCCATCTCCCTTTCACAAGAAAGGATACGGAGGATTTTATGCTGCATCTACAAAATTTTACACCTTCGTATGATAACAGCAAGGAAATACTCGCAACTTCTGGGCAGTCTGACTTCTGCTATAGGACTAGTCAGGTGGGCCCAGTGGCACCTCAGAGTTCCTCAGAGGTCATTCCTAAACCAGTTCAACCGGCGTGTTATGGATTGGAATCAACCCTTGAGGATCTCTCCATTGGTAAAGACGCACCTAGCCTGGTAGTTAAGAAAGGAGAATTTGGAAAGAGGATTCCCTTTGTTAGAACCCAATTGGGTCCTATTGACGACAGATTCCAGCGCCCATGGCTGGGGTGCCCACTGTCAGGACCAGATGACTCAAGGTCGATGGAACAGACAGAAGTCTGTTCTTCCGGGGAATGTATTGGAATTACGGGCCATCCACAGAGCTCTCCTACACTTCAAGGGAATCCCGAAGAACAGGTGGATACGAGTCCAGTCCGACAATCAGGCGGCAGTAGCCTATATCTCTCATCAAGGCGGAACACGCAGCCATCTTTTGATGAGGGAACCTCGACCCATCATGTGTTGGTGTCAAAAGAATATTCAAGGTATTTCTGCAGTACACCTCCCTGGGGTTCAGAATACCATGGCAGATTACCTGAGCCGTGTGACAAGAGCGAGTGGCATCTAAGCCCAGAAGTGTTTCAGGAGCTGTCTTTGATCTGGGGTACTCCACAGATAGACCTCATGGCAACTGCCCAGAACACACAGATCAAAGCATTCTTCTCAAGACTGGTCAATCACAGAGCCAGGGGTCAGGATGCTCTATCCCAACCTTGGAGATTCACTCTGGCCTATGTGTTCCCTCCTATACCCCTCATATACCCAACTCTGAAGAAGATTCGGAAGGAGAGGGTAGAGGTCATCGCTATCCTACCATTCTGGCCCTGTCGACCCTGGTTCCCTATGGCGATATGGATGAGTCGGGAACCCCCGAGGGAACTGCCAGTCCAGGCAGACTTACTATCCCAGGGACTGCTGCTACACCCAAACCCTCAAATCCTCAAATTTAGGGCTTGGAGATTGAGCGGGAAGCTCTGATGAATGCTGGCATGCCTGAGATCACGTAAGATATCCACTTCCTCCACATATTATAGGATTTGGCATGCATTTGTTTGTTGGGCACAAGAACATCAGGTGGTGATTAAACCCCTGGCCTTATCTTCAGTGCTCTGTTTCCTTCAGGCTGGCCTTGATAAGGGCCTTAGCTATAACACCCTGAAGGTCCATGTATCTTCTCTATCCGCTTTATCAGGTACCCAATGGGCTCTGGAACCATTGGCCATACGTTTCCTCAAGGCAGCAATGAAGATCCGGCCTCCTATTAAGGTATTTCTGCCGGCATGGGACCTTCCTCTGGTTTTGAAGGCCATGACTAGGTCACCCTTTGAATCACTTGACCAGGCTTCATTCATGGTACTTACCTGAAAGGTACTCCTGTTGGTGGCAGTTACTTCTGCACGAAGAATAGGTGAACTCCAGGCATTATCCTGTGAAACGCCATATACAAGAGTACTTCAGGACCGGTTGGTCCTCAGACCTGTCCCGGAATTTCTACCTAAAGTGGTATCCATGTATCCATGTTCCACTTGAACCAAGAGATTGTATCCGAACCCCTCTTCTCCTGAAGAAAAAATTTGGCACACTCTGGATGTGGTTCGAGCGTTGTCTCTCTATCTAGAGAAGACCAGTCCCTTCCGGAGATGGTCCAGGCTTTTTGTGTTGCCTGTTGGCCACAGGCGGGGTGAAGCTGCCTCTACGTTGAGATAATGGGTGGTATCGGCCATCTCTAGTTCTTATAAGTACTTATCGCTGCCGGTTCCGACTGGTATCAGGGCTCACTCTACTCGTGCTATCGCAGCATCTTGGGCTTCTGTGGCAAATGCTTCTCTGGATGATATTTGTAAAGCAGGCACTTGGTCTTCAGTAAACACTTTCATCCAACATTACAAAGTGGATGTTAAAGCTTCAGTGGACTCTCATTTTGGTCATCAAGTCCTTAATTCAGTTCACTCCTCTCGACCCTTGTAATTTGTATATGTGTATTTATCTTCATTAAATCTTTTTTGCATCCATTGTGTCTCTTGTTTCCCTCCCTGTGAGCTTGGGTAGTCCCATGTGTATATGTTGCCATGATTAGCCTGGAAAATAGAACATTTATTCATACTTACTGTAATTTTCTTTTCCTGGCTATTATTCATGGCAGCATATACGGCCCGCCCTTATGGATCTTGTTCTTCTGTAAGAGCTTGTTAACAGACTGAGGGACTCATCTCTGGATCCTCCTTTATAAGAATTTGTTTAACTCCTGTCCTATTGGCTGTAAGGGGAGGAGCTAACCCATGTGTATATGCTGCCATGAATAATAGCCAGGAAAAGAAAATTACGGTAAGGATGAATACATTTTCTATTTTATTGTCATTCCTGTACTTTTGTGGCGCAGCCATTTTTTTCTTTGTTGTACAAATTCCTAATTTGATGCATTTATCTAAATATAAATAATGAATGAATGACAGAAATTCGAGAACAATATCTTATATTATGATGATATCAAAATACACTTAAAATTAAATTATAAATAAATACAAATTATTACAAATATATAAATATATATAATTACATAAATAATTACATTATATACATGTAGAATTTAAATACATTTGTATGCATATATATATATATATATATATATTTATTTACATTCTACATGTGTATTTATGTAATCTTTTTACATAATTATGTGATGTTTTTAATTACAATTTGAGGGAGCTGCCTGACAAGCCAGGCAGAAAGTCCAGAGAATTTAATTTGCAAACCCTAAATTTAACCCTGTAACTTTCCAAAACACCCTAAAATCTGCACATTCGGGGTGCTGTTGCACTCTGGAGACTGAACACAAATGAGTGTTTCAAAATAGTAAAATTTATCACAACAATGTCAACAGTTTTTGTGTGACAAATGCAAAAAACAATTATAGAAGCTAATTTTGGCCAGCATTTGTGACTAAGTGGTTTTGGAAAAAAAAGGCTGGACCTGCCCTATTTTGAATTCCCTGGGTTGTCCACTGTTTCAAATGGTATGCCATGATGGGGGTTATTATTATTCCTGGTCTGCCATATGGTCTCAAAGTCAACATAACCAGTCTGGCAAATTGTAATGTGCAAAAACAAAATGGGCAAGTTTATATTTGACCCGTAACTTTCCAAAACACATGAAACCTGAACATGAAATAGAAGCGTCAAATACTGCGGTTACATCAGAGTTTTTAAAAAGTCCATTTTTTTAATGCTAAATAGTACATTAGTGGGGTGCACTTCATATCTGAGAGTCAAATAGAATTGTCAAATACTGCTGTCATATTGCAGTTTTAAAACTTAAATTTTTTTGGGTGCTAGAAGCATTAAATAGTGCTCTTACTCCACTCATGGATCCCACCAGACTTGTCTGTACCTTGTGCAGCCATTGTTATAAAGCCATTGTTATAATCAAGTGCACTTATTTTTTTTTATTTTTTTTTTATATGTCCCAATATTTTGGAGGCTACCCCAATGAAAAAATAAATAAAGTGTTGGCTACCTCCTCCTCCACCGCCGCTTCCACCTACATAGCCACGGTCACCGGCTCCTCAACCTATGGGTCACTTAGTATAAACTATGTACACAATAGCAGAGGCTTGTGAAGGCCTTTTCTCCATGCATCAGAAGTTGAGCATTTCTCCATGCATCAGGACTGCAAAAAATGCACCACAGGCCGCAAATGTTTCTTTGTTTATATGTCCCAATATTTTGGGGGCTACCCCAATTAAAATAAAAAAATAAAATATATTATATATATATATAGATAAATATCAGTGTTGGCTACCTCCTCCTACACCACCACGGTCACCGCCTCCTCAACCTATGGGTCACTTAGTATAAACTATGTACACAATAGCGGAGGCTTGTGAAGGCCTTTTCTCCATGCATCAGGAGTTGAGCTCAGTTTGAACAATGAAAGAGAATACCCTGCACTCCAACCCTCTCTCAAATTGATTAATCTGGTGATCCTCCTGACAGCCATGCTTTAGATTTTGATTTATGTTCTTCCAAAGCTAAAATCAAAGATTCCATCTAGTGCTATTTTATGGCTCAGCTGTATTTTAAATTTTTATGTTATTTTTAGTGATTTCCCTATCCACATTTGTTTGCAGGGCACTTGTCCTACTCTTACCCCCGTTTTACTTCCTTTTGCAGCCCTCTAGCCCTTTCCAGGACTTGTTTAGAGGCATTTTTGTGGCCAAAAGTTTGGGTCCCCATAGACTTCAATGGGGTTCGGGGTCAATTTCGGGTCAAGTTCAAGGACGAACCTGGACTTTTTTTCAAAGTTCCGCCGAACCCGCCGGACCCGAACATCCAGGTGTCCGTTCAACTCTATTTATTTGCAATAGTCACTGTAGCTTACACTAGTTAAACTGTTAAAGCTTTTCTGCACACAGCTGAAATACACAAAATACATAGTGCACAGTCTGAGTACTAATGGACTCACCCTTCAATGTAATGTCCCAGTCCCTCTCTATTGGTTGGCCCAGGCTGGGATGTTCCACTCTGCAGATGAATTTTGTTGCTTCCTCTGAGCTCAGTGATTGCTTGATATCTAGACATGCTGTACAGCTGGACGTTTTATCTTCATGCATCTCATGTGTCAGATCTGGTATCTGATAAATATCACTGGGATTTAATGCAACTGCTTTGGTTTCCTCGTGCTCCTGTTTGAGCCAGGTCACAGTCAGCTCATCTGGCTCATTGTATCCAGAGATCTTACACTTCAGTAGGTTCGGCTGGTTTGAAAGTTCATGATTGAATAATACTTTTTCAACACTCAGGCCAGACTCTGCAATAAATAAATAGATTTCTGACTACAAAATTTAACCGGATACACAAAAGAATTAAAAATGAATTAAAGGTGCATAGTAAAGTTGCAGCGGCTGGTTCAATATTGTATTGAGACACAGTGCTGAGCATACCAGGGGCTGTGCGGGGTGAGACACTGCCAGAGCAGGAAATGAGCCTATAGGAGCCTGACATGCAGGGAGAATGGTGAGAGGAGTCGGGTTAATAATAGACTATTATATTTACCCACATCTACTGTATATTATTAAAAACGCACTTTATTGTCATTCCTGTACATTTGTGGCGTAGCCATTTTTTTATTTCTTGTACAAATTCCTAATTTGTTGCATTTATCAAAATCTAAATAATGAATGACTGAATGACAGAAATTCGAGAAGAACAATATCTTTCAAAATATTGATTTCAAAATACACTTAAAATGAAATTATAAATATATAAATATATAATTACATAAATGATTACATAAATATACATGTAGAATTTAAATACATATATGTATATATATTTACATTCTACATGTATATTTATGTAATCATTTGACATAATTATGTGAATTTATTAATCACAATTTGAGGGACCTGCCTGACAACTCAGGCAAAAAGTCTAGAGAATTTAATTTGCAAACCCTAAATTTAACCCTGTAACTTTCCAAAACACCCTAAAATCTGTTGCACTCGGGAGACTGAACACAAATGAGTGTTTCACAATAGTGAAATGTATCACAACAATGTCAACAGTTTTTGTGTGACAAATGCAAAAAACAAATATAGAAGCTAATTATGGCCAGCATTAATGAATAAGTGGTTTTGAAAAAGGCTGGACCTGCCCTATTTTGAATTCCCTGGGTTGTCCACTGTTTCAAATGGTATGCCATGATGGGGGCCATTATCATTCCTGGTCTGCCATACGGTCTCAAAGTCAACATAACCAGTCTGGCAAATTGTAATGTGCAAAAACAAAATGGGCAAGTATTATATTTGACCCCGTAACTTTCCAAAACACATGAAACCTGAACATGGCGAGTATTTTTGTACTCATCAGCTATTTCTGAATACAAATATGAGTGTTTTAGAGCAGCAAAATGTATCTCAGCAATGATATCATCTGTGAAAGGACAGTTTCTTTGTGAAATAAGCAAAAAAAGAACTAATATGAACACTAACTTTGGCCAATGATTGTGACTAAGTGGCTAATGAAAAAGACTGGGCATACACCATTTTGAATACCTTGGGTTGTCTACTTTTGCAAATGGTATGTCATTATGGGGGTAATTTTCATTGCTGGGCTGCCATAAGGTCTCAAAGACAACCTAGGCACAGCAAACCAATCTGGCAAATTTTAATGTGTCAAAACTGAAAACTCAGAAAACCCTATATTTGACCCTGTAACTCTCCTAAACCCCATAAAACCTGTACATGGGGGTACTAATGAACTTCTGAGACAGTGCTGAACACAAATATGTGTGTTTTATTGCAACACAATCGAACAGTAAAATGACACTCAACGTTAAAATGACATGCAGAAGTTCAAAAATAAATTGTCTTAATTTTTCTTATTTTTTTTTTATAATTCTTTATTTTTGTTGTGCACAGCTTACATAATAGGTTACAAAACAGTAGTACACGTTAGAATACTATAACATTGCAGTCATTGCGGTAGTGGTTCTGCACAATTTTTACATGTTTAAATGTAGGAAGAGCATATAGTAAGATAAACAGGTTAGTAATTAGGTAGAGAACTGTGTGTCTTGCTAGGTGTTACGAGGGCAGGCTGCCACAGGATATCAGCATGTCAAAGATTGGTTGTCAGGCAGCGCTGTGATACTAGGGAAGCCTGATTAGTCGTCGTTACTGAACAGGGTCTGCCCAAGTGTTAAGAGCTAGTAAGCCTCTGGGCTGCTTAAAATTCCGTGAGCTTCAACATATAGGATTAAACTAAGGCATCACTAAGCTGAAATAAAAGTTTAACAAGGTAACATTGCTTTGTAGGTTATGAGAGATCAAATATAAACCACAAGCTTGATAGGAACTGTTAGGGTTCCCGTGAGGTTTGTCCCAGGTCAGTCCGTTTGCCAGGCAACAGAAGGGGCGCAGAGGGAGGCAGTGTTAGCAGTCTTCAACCAATACCCTGTGCATACCATCGTGGACAGTTCATCCCATGTTCGGGTATCTCGGTCCCCCTGTCCGGCGTACGGGAAGTCAGGCTGTGCTGCAAATGCTGTAGGCTGGTTGGGACACTCTGGGTTCGCGGGTCGCTTCTCCCTCTCTGGTGGCGGGTTGGTTTCCACACACCACAGTCTTGGTGTCATTTAGGGGTCATATCCTGCTGTGGAGGGGGGTGGCTGGTGGCTCTGTGCCGGCGCTGTCTGCAGCGGTGAGGCCGCGATCTGTATGCATGGTGCTTTGGGGTTTTGCGTCTCTTGGCCCCCGGCGCTGGTGGGCTCACCGTCGTGGGTTGTGGTGGCCGCGAGGTGATAATACTTGGTGAGGGTTTCTCTTTCAGCCTGGGCCTGTTCTCACGAGTCTCTCCTCCGAGATGAGGTGTTGTGGGCTGCAGGTGTATCTCCACAGGGTCCCAGAGCCTTTCAATGTATTTCTCCAGCCTCCGCCAGGCTTGTTCCGTGGGGCTGAGCTGGAGCGCTTCAGACTGCGTGTGTCTGGGTGCACTCTGACAGAAGACAGCCGCCATCTTGTGTTGTGCGGTAGTGGGTTGGCAAGGGCTATTGCAGCTGTGGGGATCGTTATCGCCACTGATTGCAAGCTTGTGCGGACCGGGATAACTCCCACCGGTCCAAAGGGGGGGTAAGCACGAAGCTCAATACGTTGGGGTTGTTTTGATTCCCGTCTAGGAGGTCGGCCGTTCCTCCCGCCCGAGTCTCGCTAGGCCGCAGTTTTTCAGCATCTGGTTTTCAGTCTCTGTGGGCCACTCGATCGCACCGGCAACAGTCCGGTGTGCGTTCAGCTTTCTTGGGTCCCTTTTAGTGTCGATTAGGCGTCGGTGAGCCCGTGGTTTCGTTGTTTTAATTTAGTTTTAGGAGAGGAGCTCACCGACCATGCGATCGCTCTGTATGGCGTCCAGGCCCCGCCCCAATTTTTCTTATTTTTAAAAAATGTTATTCATATCAAATTGTTTTATTTATACATATTTGGTGGTGGGAAAAAGCCTTGTTTCTCCTGAACTAAATGTTATAATAAGCGTGGGTGCACGTAAAAGGACACTGTTGGCACCCAGACCACTTCAGCCCATTGAAGTGGTCTGGGTGCCAATCCCCATCACCCTTAACCCTGCAAGTGTAATATTACTTTTTTCATAAACTGCAATAATTACCTTGCAGTGTTAAGTCCTCCTCTAGTGGCTGTCTACCAGACCAGTGGCTGCCTACCATTTCCGTAATAGCCATAGGAAATCATTGAATAATATTTTCCTATGGGGAGGTCTAATGTGCGTGCACGGCCATTGCCGCTGATGCGCATTAAGTCTCCCCTGCCAGCAGACATCGGTGGAGTAGGAGCATGGGCGGAGGCTGATTCAGGGCCGTGGGAAAACGGCGCTGGCTTCAGGTAAGGGTCTGAAGGGATTTTAACTCCTCCAGTGACGTGGGGTGAAGGAGAAGGGGTGGGGGGTGGAGAGGGTACTCCAGGATTCTATAGTGCCAGGAAAATGGGTTTGTTTTCCTGGCACTAGAGAATCCCTTTAATATGAAAGAGGTAAATTATGGTTGAACAGACATATAGTGCAAACTCCAGGTTTTCTTTTGATTAGAACTTTACAATTGGCTTTGACATTAAGGGTTCAAATCTGTTTTCTCATCTTTTGTTTCTTTGATGTCCTAACCACCATTTCTGAATGTAACACAACCAATGTATCAATGTTTCTGTCATTGTTTAAATGTGATGGTCTTTTCTGAGAACAAAAACACAGTTTTTTAAATACGAACATATTAGACTTCAAGAATAATGGACACCTTTCATATCACTTTTGATCATTCGCACTTTGACAATTGAGTCATATCTGCATTTATTATTTATTCATTTGCAATAGTCACTGTAGCTTACGTTGACGTCTCAGAACAATGTACACCAGTTAAACTTTTAAAGCTTTTCTGCACACAGCTGAAATACACAAAATACATAGTGCACAGTCTGAGTACTAATGGACTCACCCTTCAATGTAATGTCCCAGTCCCTCTGTATTGGTTGGCCCAGGCTGGGATGTTCCACTCTGCAGATGAATTTTGTTGCTTCCTCTGAGCTCAGTGATTGCTTGATATCTAGACATGCTGTACAGCTGGACGTTTTATCTTCATGCATCTCATGTGTCAGATCTGGGATCTGATAAATCTCACTGGGATATAATGCAACTGCTTTGGTTTCCTCGTGCTCCTGTTTAAGCCAGGTGACAGTCAGCTTATCTGGCTCATTGTATCCAGAGATCTTACACTTTAGTAGGTTTGGCTGGTATGCAAGTTCATGTTTGAATAATATTTTTTCAACACTCAGGCCAGGCTCTGCAATAAATAAATAAATAAATAAATAGATTTCTGACTACAAATTTTCAGCTGTTGCGCAAAATAAATAAAAGAGAATTAAAGGACCATAGTAACGTGTCAGCAGCTGGCTCAATATTGTGTTGAAGCAGAGTGCTGAGCACACCAGGGGCTGTGTGGGTTGAGACACTGCCAGAGCAGAAAATTAACCTATAGGAGCCTGACGTGCAGGGAGAATGGTGATATGAGTCGAGTCACAGCTAGTAAAGGCAATGCCAGGTGAGTGAAGTGTAACACACTGTATTTGTGCTCTACACCAAATAATTAAAAAGGAAATAGTTGTGGCATAGATAAAACATAAACTTTAAATCAAAAGTTTAAAAAGCCACAACTGAACAGTAGTTCTAAATAATAGGCATGTGCATGGGGAAAATTTTAGGTTCGACTCTCTGAAATTCTGGATTTTCGCAATTCGGGACTTCGGCAATTCGGCACTTCGACACTTCGGAAATTTGGCAACTTCAGAATTTCAGAATGTCTGAATTGCCCGAAATTCGTCCGAATTCATATTTGGACCGAAACAAATTGCACATGTCTACTAAATAAAAGAGCAATGTATTCGTCAAGAAGAGTCAGAATTTAGCTCCTTTTACTCAGTTTATATCTTAAACTAATCCAAGATCCAATACAAGTAATTACACAAATTTCATTCTGCTTTCCCTAAAGTGGAATAACCACTATTTATCCACTATTTACCAATAGGAGTTTTGATTCCCCTTCTATTGCCCAATAATCTAAACAGAATTAAGCAATGTATTAGGTACTAACTCATATAAAACAAGCAGAGAGGTGTTTGAAACCAACACCAAGGGTCCTCTCCATGCACCCATACACTTTGGAACATTCTCAGAAAAAAAAGAGAAGGTCACAGTTTCAACTGTTCCCTGGTCCACCTTGTATCTTTAAATGGCTAAAATTCGTATTATTTATTCTTAAACTGGCATACACCTTGAAAAAGATTGACAGCACAACGAGGGAAATAGACATACAAAGTGCACTCGATGCACTTTTCACTTGCTACTAAGGCTCATCAAGAGTAGAGTTGAGCAGACACCTGGATGTTCGGGTCCGGCGGGTTTGGGTTTTGACCCCGAAGTTGACCCTGAACCCGAACCCCATTGAAGTCAATGGGGACCTGACCTTTGGCCACAAAAAATGTCTCTAAAAAACTCCTGGAAAGGGCTAGAGAGCTGCAAAGGGGGAAAGAGTAGGACAAGTGCCCTGCAAACAAATGTGGTTAGGGAAATCACTTAAAATAACATAAAAATTACAAATACAGCTGAGCCATAAAATAGCACTAGATGGAATCTTTGAATTTAGCTTTGGAAGAACATAAATCAAAATCTAAAGCATGGCTGTCAGGAGGATCACCAGAATTATCCATTTGAGAGAGGGTTGGAGTGCAGGGTATTCTTTCATTGTTCAAACTGAGCTCAACTCCTGATGCATGGAGAAAAGGCCTTCAAAAGCCTCTGCTAATGTGTACATAGTTTATACTAAGTGACCCATAGGTTGAGGAGGCGGTGACCATGGCAGTGGAGGAGGAAGCAGCGGTGGAGGAGGAGGATGAGGTAGCTAACACTGTATTTTATGTTTTTGGCTTTTTTAATTGTGGTAGCCCACAAAAGATTGGGACATACAAATAAAGAAATATTTGCGGCCTGCGGTGCATTTCTTGCAGTCCTGATGCATGGAGAAATGCTCAACTCCTGATGCATGGAGAAAAGGCCTTCACAAGCCTCTGCTAATGTGTACCTAGTTTATACCAAGTGACCCATAGGTTGAGGAGGCGGTGACCGTGGCGGTGGAGAAGGAGGATGAGGTAGCCAACACTGTATGTATCTATATATATATATATTTTAATTGGGGTAGCCCCCAAAATATTGGGACATATATAAAAAAACAACTCTGTTCTGCAGAGTAGCTGTTGGCATTATAGTTGTTCAGGAACTTTGTTGACTCTAGAGAACCTCGGGCCAATCGCACATCCCCGTGGCGGCGACTTTGCATGCAAATGTCATCCATATTAACTTTCGATGCCAGTTTCTGCGCCTACCATGGTGACCACGGGTAATGGGGAATCAGGTTTCCATTCCATACAGGTGCCCTGAGTAATGGCTACCACATGCAAGGAAGACAGCAGGCGTGCAAATGACCCACTCCCGACGCGGAAAGGTAGTGATGACAATTAACAATACAGGACTCTTTAGAGGCCCTGTAATTGTAATGAGTCCACTTGAAATCCTTTAACTCTGATCAATTAGAGGGAAGTCTGGTGACTTCTCAGTTTGACTTGTGAGGGTATTGCCCCAGAATTACAATATTGTTGAAGTACCTCTTAGCTTTTAATCACTGGTTTAAATATAGCAGCTTGTTATCTGGTAGTTTCTAGTGTGGAAAATATCAGTCTGTTTTCTATCACTTAGATCTGTGTAACAAGTGTTGTAGGTATGAAAAAATATTACAAGTGATGGATGTAGTAAATGCGAATCAAAGTTACGCTTCAATTTGACTCTCAGATATGAAGTGAACACCCCAAATATAATTTTTTTTTTTAATTGACTTTTAAAAACTCCAATGTAAGCAACAGATTAGCAGAAAAACAATTAGAATGTTTACAAGTGCGCAGTAAGCACACTATTAGACGCTTCGATTTGACTCTCAGATATGAAGAACAGGCCCCAAAATGTGCTATTTAGCAGATTAGCAGCAAAACAATTAGAATGTTTACCACTGCGCAGTAAGCACACTATTAGACGCTTCTATTTGACTCTCAGATATGAAGTGCACCCCACTAATGTACTCTTTAGCACCCAGAAAATTTAAGTTTTAAAACTGCAATGTGACAGCAGTATTTGACGATTCTATTTGACTCTCAGATATGAAGTGCATCCCACTAATGTACTACCCCACTAATGTACTATTTGGCACCAAAATAAAAATTACTTTTTAAAACTCTGATGTAACCGCGATATTTGAAGCTTCTATTTGAAGCTTCTATTTGACTCTCAGATATGAAGTGCACCCCACCCCACTAATGTACTAGTTTGCAGAATTCTTTCCTAAGCTGTCCCTATCAGCAGCAGCATCCTCTCCCTACACTAATAAGACCTCATGGGCGTGCGGCGCTACGCAACTCCAGCTTATATATAGAGTCTGGGTCACATGCTGCATTGGCCAATCACAGCCATGCCATTAGTAGGCATGGCTGTGATAGCTTCTAAGGGCACATAAGTCAAACACTTGTTGATTGGCTGCCCTGCAGGCTTTGAAAACGCGCCATTAAATCACCGAACACCGAACTCCAAACCGAACATACAGTGAAATGTCCGTGTTCGGGTCCGGGTTCGCTCAACTCTAATCAAGAGTGCCAATTAAAGTTAAAAACATAAAATCACTTGCACAAACACACATATTTATCTACACATATACATATATATATACACACACATACAAAACACAAATTTATATAGTTTTATATATATATATATATATATATATATATATACACACACACACAAAAAACACAAATAAATTTATATAGTTTTATATATATATATATATATATACACATAAACACATAGTATATATATATATATATATATATATATATATATATATATATCTCAAGTTCTGATGAAAGCTCCTTGTGGGAGATGAAACGTCGATAATTTTATGGATTTAATAAATCTACTCAAGTCATTGGACTGCAGTTTATTCCTACATTTTGACATATATTGGAAGGCATGGCCTGAAGTTGTGGGAGGGGCTATAGACCTACTTAAGGGACTCCCCCTTCCCGAATGTCCCAAGTGCTGAACAGGCCCAGTCTCCACTCCCATTAGCTATACTTTCCTCTATGTGGGCCCACTTTATTTACCGGCCTACAGTATACATCGGTTTCGGCACACCTCAACCGACTATTTCTTTTTATTTTATTCCTCTTCACCAGTGTATTTCATATCCAAAGAGAATGCCCCGAACACAAATATATATATATATATATATATTTATATATATATATATATATATATATATATATGTGTGTGTAATTATTTGTATTTTTTTCATATACAAGTAGATAAACACATACATAAATATGGTTTCCTAGACTTATCAGATAAAATTTTAGCATCTAAGTCGGAAAATATTTATAAACCTTTTTCCCCTCAATAACCACTGCACATTTTTAAAATTCACATTATATAAGTTAGTCTTGGTAGTGTTATGGGCATATGCAAATATTACAAATGTTTAGAATGAAACATTGTATTTCTTAAACTGTGTACTTTGTCTTTAAGAGATATTGCAAACTAACAAGTTGTTAGAAATGGAACAAATTGTTTTTCATACAATGTTTCTTTAATAAATTACCTCCTACCCATATTTAGTGAATATGGTGTTTAGACTTTAGGATGCCATCTTGTCCTAGGTTAGTGTAATTCCTTAAGTCAGGGAATTTCCCCCGTCATCTACACACTTATGTTTTAGTCTAAACATAGATAAGGTGTTTCCTTGTGAAATGACCAGGTTATGGCCTTGTATCTTTGCCAAGTTAAGATAGATCCTAAAATGACCTAATTGAATATCAAAGGTATAAATATGTGTACTCATATTAGGACACAAAGGAGAGATTTTGGAGACAGAGACACTGCTGCATTTTATCATGACTGAGAGAGGTTGACATGTACAGGAGGGTATGTTTTTCTATTACTGATATTGCAAGCATAAACTTTAATCTTATAAACTCTGCTATAAATTATTGTAATGGATTTTATTTGTCTACATCCGTATTTTTACTTAATAAAATATTTAAAAATACAAAACTTTATTGCTTCCAAGACAATTCCTATTTTATATTGTATTCTCAATTATTTATATTGATATTTTAAATAGAGGAATTCTTACTAACAATATAATATTATGGCTAAGATATCTGTTCGGTTAGCTCTGCTAAATTCTATTCTTTAAAACGCTATAGTGGTAAATAGGGGCACAAGCCGCAGTTAGAATTGGCGCCCAACATGGGGCTTATACTTGGAAGCTTTAAATATAAAACATATATACCTAGGTAGCCTCGTGTATGTAAGAAAAGACACAATATTTTGTCATGGCACGAGTCTTGAAATATAAAGAATCTAATAAGCTATTTGTAGCCCAGACACAGAGAGAGATCTTCATCGTGGACGGATGATGATTTTATGTGAACTTGTAAAATGCATTGGAGTTCAGGTGCCAGGTACATTGTAATTAGCATGCAATGCTGAAATTGTGGGTCTTAATTAATATCATAAGAGAGACATATATACATATGTGGTAAACTCCCTAATATGCCTGATACTCCAGCACATCATGGTCCATTAGTTCCAGGACAGTGTGTTGTAGGCAGGGGGTCATGTTCTCTCTGTAGCTGCATAGTTTGCATGTGCAGAAAGAGAGATTAATGCAAGATATTGTTTTCATAAGCAAACAATGAAAGCAACACTTGCTAGTATATTGCTGGTATATTTCTAAGTCTAATTCCAAGAATGCAAAGAAATTGCATTATGGCTCAATGAAAAAACTCATGCCACAGAAGGGCTTATCACCCCCAATGCCACAGTTAGACAGGATTTTAGTTATTTAAACACAGATAGGTGTGGTAGTGATTGGCGCTTATTAGATATTATACAGTAACAGTTTTTATACTTTTAGCCGCTTGGCAGAGGAGATACAGACCACTATTAAGAGTATTTATAGTGTTTTACATATATATTTTATATTTATTATATATTTTTTATTTTCTAGTTATTTGTGTATTTTTTATTGGTATTCGAATTATATGGAGGAATAAATTTAAGACACATCGATTACTGTATTCTGCACTTTTTCCGGTAAGGGGAGGTGTCACCCCAATTTGACACTAAGCTTGCAAACTTGGAGGTGAGCACCCCTTTCTTAACATTCATATATTATCCAAAGAAGATTTCTTTAAAATACTACACTTAGAGTCTTCTCTCTCTTTTTTCCTATATATATTGTGGAGAGGAATATATACAAGAATTTAAAGAAAAAAAAGGGGTTAAGGTGTCTACCTTAAAGACACGGAAGCCTGGAAGTTTAGAGCCTAAAATCTTAAAAGGCTCTGAAAAATGTGAGTAAATTTAACTCACACACTACTAAAACTTTTGTCTTTAGTGTATATACAATATTGCACGATTATTCTGTATACCTTTTTTGTTTTTCATGTTTACTGAGAGGGGTGAGTTGCATATATATGTATACAAGCACATTATCCTGTATAGATCTATATAGCGCTGCACTCTAACTAGAGGCGTGGAAGGTGGAAACACCAACCAGACCTCAAGTTATTTGTCTTTTGGTGTTTATAGGATTTTAATTATTGCATTACTGCCTTCTGGATTGTAATATCCACTATATATAAAAAGTTTTATAAGTGATCATTTCCATATTGCCAGTTACACTTGCTGTTAATTTAAAATCAGGAATTATAACAGCATACTATTTGAAGTCTGGGATTTCCATCCAAGGTCGCTGTGGCGAAACCAACCTCGCCACTATGCACTGGAGAAGCCTGGTTGCCAGCCTCCTGCCATCTGACTATGGCCCCCTTGTGGATTCATACTTTTGTATGCAAGATTTGGGCATGTGACATTTTTACATTGCTGCTACTGGCCCTTTAAGGGCCATCCGTGGACATATTCTGCCTGTTAGGAATAATGCCTTTTTAAGACTGTGTAGCAAATTGCATTCAGGCTGTATTTAATATTATGTGTTCGGTATAAAGTGTTATGTGAATGCAGCATTCCCCTGATTGTTCGGTAGAATCACTTCATTCATTATATTGGGTGAAACTACCGAACAACCAGACCACCCGGGAGTAAGTGTGCCTCCAATTACCGTTTGCAACAATGTTGCAAACGGGTAATTGGCAATATGTGTAATGTGTGTTGTGTCCTCTGGGTGGCCGCCATTCTGGAAACGAACACGTGGCGGCGGCCATCTTAAACTCCCGAACAGCAGTGTTTTGCCGTCGAGTGTCTGGAACTAAAATCGGACACTCGGCTAAGCAAACACCGCTGAGACCTCCAGACTTCCAGCAATTCGTGCAGAAACTACCGAACGGCCCGCCGTTCGGTAGAAAGGATCCCACGAACAGGGGGATTCATACGAATCCTCCCCA